AGAAAGGGCGTAGTAAAGAGTGAATTCCAGATAAGTCCTGTGTAATACTCCTGAAGGCCATGAGGTCACCAGTAAATTAAAGTTGGATTTGGGGCCCAGAATCTTTGATAGCCATTTCTATTCTTCAAGGCTGGAGGCCAGACTGCCAGAAACAGAGCTGAAATCCATGGGGAGACTGAATCCTCTCTGTTACAGCATTTGACCCGTCCTCGCATCCCTGGAATCCAGTAGGTCTGACCAACACATATTGGAGAGTCTGTGCATCATTTGATAAAATTGCATTGCGTGTCTCTGACAGAGATGAAATCATTTTCCTTAGCTCATAGTTTCAGCAAGGGCCGCCCTACCCATTGGTGAAGTAATACAGAATGCAGTGTGATATGAAGTAAAGGGGCACTAAGATTGTATTGGTAGGCTGTCTGTAGCAGGCAGGGTGCTGGGTTCTTTCTTTAATTGTTTAGTGAATCCTCATGACAACCTTGTAAGAAGGACAAAGAAATGAAAAATACATCCAAGTTCACAAAACTTAAATGGAATATTCTGGAGCCATGCTGCTCTGCTTCTACTGCCCTGATCTGTGCCCTTTCCTTGATAGCACATTGAAAGGTGTCAAAAACTTCCCCTGTGGGACCAACAGTTAGCGTAATGGCTATGTTGCTGAACCATGGTTTGAGTCCTGGACCCGGTGGCTTAAACTCACACCAGGCACGTGTGCGTGCGTGCCCAAGGTCCCGAGAGGAGAATGGAGGAGATGCCGTGTGGCTATCCCCCCGCCCCCCGGGGCGGGGGGGATTTCTCCCTTTCTGTCTCTCTGTCTCTCTCTTTCTGGTGAGTGCATGCGCCCTATAGCAAAAACCTCTCCCTCAAAAAACAAACGAACAAACAAATAAACAAAAAACAACACACACACACACACACACACAAAACTTTCCCTGCACTGGAGGATAGTTCTGTTTCCTAGACTCATGGCTCAGAGGGACCTTGGGGATAATACAGTCCCAGAATTCCTCTGATGCTTGCCTGCTGTTGCTGGATTCCAAGCAGTGCCAAGTCAAAGTGTGTCTGCTATTCTGCCTGATTTTTTCCTTCAGTGTCTATTTCACACTGAACAATTGTCTCTCATTAAGTAAAGTATGACTCCAGTAAGATACCATTAATACTTCAGTTCGGATACTTAGGTTCAGCATTTAGGCCTTTAGTAAGAATCCAAGGACAATGGAATATTTCAGAGAATGGAAGAGGGAAAGATCTGGTCCCTGGGGAAGGCCCTGACATGATCTGTCTCCACTTCTGTACCACTTGCTCTCACTGCCCAGATTCTCCCAACCAGGAGGAGATGGTCTCTGAGACAGAAACTGGGTTTCCCTCAAACCTTGGCCAGGATGTCAGTGGATGCCTTAGTGGACAAGCAGAGGGATAACCAACCAGAAGGCTCTGGCTTCTCTCAGTGGATGATAACTCATCAGAAGGTTGCATGATCTCTGTGTGTACTGCGGAAGTGTATCTCTCATATCATTGATGTAGTTCTGAAATGTTAAACCCAGAATGAATCTTCAAAACTTTAAAAAAAAAAAAAAAACTGGAAAAACATGCATTCTAGTTAAAAATTTTGCATGACGGGAAAAACCAATCCTGAATTTTCTGTTATCAGTTTGAATTTTCAAAAATCAAAGTAAACCGAGGGAACCATATCATTGAGCACCGTCTAGAATGAAAAATCTTTCATGAAAAAAATCACCCATGAATTTCTGCCTGAATAGTTCAAGCAAAAGTGTGTTCTTTTTGCCCTACTGGGTCTCTTTATTATAATGGTATACTTGGAATTTTGAGGTAGAAATGAGTTTTTTTTATAAAGTAACTATTCAAATGATGAAATGTAAAATGGTAATGCAAGATCAGTCATTCTTGCTATGAGACATCAAGCTAATATGATCATAAATATTAAAGTCAGACAAAGCCTTAAACATAGAGTTCCAAGAAACATACTTTTCTGAAAAGTGATTTTCCCGAGTTGTCCCTAGCAGAGTAGACTCTGGTGTCAGGTTGTGTCACTCTTTCGCCCATTGGTTGTTCACACTTAGATCCCAATAACAAGGCATGTTCAGAATTGTTTAAGTTGAAAGCTCCTTTGACTCTAAGATCAAGATTCTAAAGAGGCTCATGGTGGCTTGCTCTCTGGGTTTAGACAAAACCACTCTCTGCAATAACCAGATAATATTTGGAAGCAGATTGCTCATTGTGCTTGTGGAAAATTGTGCTGCAGTTTGTTCATACTGTTGGAGTTTCCCGTGTGTCTTTTCTTGGTGGGGAAATTGAAGAGGAATCTCATAGTCACTAGTTCGGTAAGCCCGAGAGAATCAAGGTCAAGCTCATTGTCCTTCTTCTGAGTCATACCCTCCTGCAGAAATGGGGGGATGATGAACCCATCCTGAGTGAAGTTTGCGTGGCCTTCCTCATACTTGCTTGGTCACCCTTTCCTGCTGGACAGGAGGCTTGGCTGAAGTGTGGGAGAGTGAGAGAAGAAAACCCAAATAACTCACCCCATCTTCCCATCTGCCTTAACAATTAAGCTGGGGTCATTTCTTTCCAATGATAAAAGTGAGGGGAGACAGTTGTGGGCATTTTCAGGTCCCTTATCTACCTGCCTGTTCACTTAGGATAGACTCACACTTTGGTCCTTTCATCCCCAGCTGACTTGGACTTGGAGGTTTTTCAGTCTGATTTGTTTAGTTCCTGAGTCTCTTGTGCCTTATGATGCAAAACTTAAGGTTTAGCCTCAGTTTCTTTCTTTTTTTCTTTTTTTTTTTACTGGTGAGTGATTGTGGTTCTTTTTTTTTTTTGGGAGAGGTTTTTTGCTATAGGGCACGTGTGCTCGCCAGACAGACAGAGAGAGACAGAGAGACAGAAAGCGAGAAATCACCCCCCAGGGGGGATGGTCATGCCACAATCCCTTCTCCATTCTCCTCTCGGGATCTTGGGCACGCATGCACATGCGCCCGGCATGAGTTTTAAGCTACCAGGTCCGGGACGCGAACCGTGGTGTACTACGTGGGAGTCCAGCGACATAGCCATTATGCTAACTGCTGGTTCCCTGATTGTGGTTCTTGACTTAGGCTTGGAAGACTGAAAATAGTAGGAAAGATGGGAGTGGTGGTTGATTTCCACATTTGCAAAGTGATTTCTCCTTATTTCACTTTAAATTCAGAACAATCCCTTGAGTCTCAGAGGATGAGTAGTCCCATTTTACAGGGAGGAAGAGACTTAGAGTGGTGAAAGAGCTCACCATTCAGCTAGTTGGTCTCTGCCTCCAAATATTTATTCCACTGTTTTCTCCACTAACCATGGTATTTCCCATCATCACTGCCATGTCTGTGAGTAGAATTTTTATCCTTGTTTTCAGTTGGAAAACACTGAGACTGTAAGAAACTTTTCCCCCAGGTAAACCATTGATTCAGTGGCAGAGCCAGATACCAAGCAGAGACCTCCTTGTAGGTCACACTCAATCCCTTACAAGTCTAAAAGAAACAGCAGGGCCCTTAACGCGCCCCTTCGTGAAGATAAATCCTATAAAATTACATTTCAGCAGCAAAATAGACAAGCCCAGTAATTTTGGTGTGAAATGTGCAAAGTCTTATTTACAGAACATCTCACGATGCCGTTCCCAGATGTCTTTTTAAAGAAATTTTTAGTTACATGCAAAGGCACTGAAAACCAGGAATCTAATTGGTAAGAAACGTAAATCTGTCCAAAAAAAACAATTACAACAACTTGATGAGATATATATTTTCTCAGCATCAGCATAAAAGAAAGAACATTCTGATCCAGAAATGGTATGTAAGTAAATAAACTTTAATTGGTTTGACAATGCCCCTTTTCCTGGCAGTGCCAAGAATCTTAGCATTATAATTACACAGTTCTGGGCAGACATGTGGTTTCCATTAAGAAAGAGTTGTG